CTTTTCTTTAAAATAAATTATACATTTCAATAGATTTAATCAACAAACAATTTAAGTTAAAATTATTTACCGTTAAGGAGATAATCACAAAATTGAAGATAATATAGAATAATTAGATAAAAGCATGTTTGAAAATGTCCTTACTGGAATAAAAATGAAACTGCTTTACAAATTTCGGAAAACATTCTTACTTTTTTTAAATTCGAGTATACCAGTTTGTATCAGTGAGGAAAAAAGATAAATAATAATTAATTCACCAGAGACCGTAAAATTAAATGAAGTAGCAGTTATAGTTTGCATAAATTTGCACATAATTTTGGGTTAAACATTTTTCTTTAGGATGATTAACCATTTCAATTATGTATTAATTTTATTCCTAATTTTTTAAGTATTATTATTTTTGTTTCTACCAGTTTTGTTTTTTAATATTATGCTGTTTATTTAACTTATATTGCAATAATTGTTTCTGCGGAATTGAGAGATGTAAATATGACCTTCTAGATTATTGTCTAATAGATGCATAGTTTGGGGTAGGGTGTGTCTGGGATGAACCAGAGCGACGGTGGGGATTCTTCATATAAACTAGATGAACCATCAGGAATTACCACTGTTATAAGAAGTGTTTTTGAAAACTGTGGATATTTACAAATATGTTTATGGTATGTAGCTTAACTCATTACGTTCGTTATATTTTTCATGATTTTAAAAATATGTTATTATTAACTTAATATTCTAAACTAATAAATTACCTGCTAATATAAATATGGTTCTGATATAATTAACTTGATATAATTAAAACTTGTATTTTATTTTATTAAAGTATCTATGTTGTACTGATGAAAAAAAAACAAAAAGAGATTTAAACTTTTTCTGATAAAAAAATAGTTATTTATTCTACGAGTTTAAATGTAAATCGGACGCATTATTTCACCGAGTGAATTTTTAAACTACGAGTGTAACGAGCGTATCATCCACGACGTGGAACAAAGCGTCCGATTTACACTCAGRCGAGTTGAATACAACATTTTATTCTTCGAATTAGGCTTAATCTTGCTTTAAATATGTTAAAAATAATTAGACGTTTCGTATTGAGAAATGCCAAACAGTTGTCAAAACTTTCTTGCACGGGAGAAAAACCGTAAATTTTGACATTGTCGAAGAATAAAGGTAAATACATTTTAAAAATTCCATTTTAGATTTGTTGATAAATTTTATAAAAAATGTAAGATATTAAGTGTGTTAATACTTTTGTGTAATGAGTAAAATAAAATTAAATTAAATTAACATTACTTTTCTAGTTAATTTTTGCATCTGTGGTGGCTGCTGTTTTGGCCGCCCCTCAGCGTAACTACTACCAACAGCAACAGCAACAGCAATATCCTCAATACAGCGGCAAATTTATCCCCATTGTCTCCGAAACCAACGAAATAAACCCTGATGGGTCTTTTAGTTACAGGTAATTTCGTAACAATTAATGAAAAGCTCTCCACCGACATCTTTGACATGTACACAATGTATCATTTCTTTGTCGTGTCAAGATGACACTAAAAATTACCATAAAATTGAAATTCTTTCCAGTTATGCTACCGGTGACGGCCAACAGGCTCAAGCTCAAGGATATTTAAAAAATGCCGGTGTCAAAGATCAAGAAGCTGAAGTAATTCAAGGTTCGTATTCATACACGGCACCTGATGGTACTCCAATTACCATTACGTACATTGCTGATGAGAATGGGTTCCGGGCTGAGGGGGCACATCTGCCGACACCGCCGCCGATTCCGGAGGCSATTCAGAAATCTCTGGCTTTGATTGCACAGACACAAAGAAACCCGCAAACGCAGTATCAGCAACAGCCGCAGTATCGGCCGCAGTATCAGCAACCTAGGCCTTTTTCACGTTTTTGAGGATGTTGAGATAGAGTAGGAATAGGTTTTTTTTGTAACTGAGAACAGTGGCCAGTGACAATGTTTATAAGATCAAGTTGTACATAAATATTTTTATATTGCATTTTGTAATAAAGATTTTTTAACAGGACCGTTGTCCTGTTAATAATCCTAATTTTTTCGTCAATTTTTGAACTAATACCGTGACTTGCTACTCCTGCTAGGTCTCCAGACGCATCGCTATTACGACATGGGACATGTTAAAGAATTTATCTTTAATATAGGATTCAATCTTGTAATGATTTTCTAAAAAACATTAACGAAGCGTTTGACCACATAAAACAAGGAATTCGGTGAAAACTGACAACAMCGTTTTCATGTATCAGAAATCAAGATTTGTAAGTATTTGAACATTAATGATATCAATTTGGAACACCATAGTCATTACTCATTAATTTGTTTAAAAATACAGAGTGCGCCAGAACTAGCGCCCCAGAGAAAAATGCCATATAAGGTAAGATACCAGGAATATGGAAAAAATGTTAAAAAAAATTGTCTATAAAAACTTCGAAGTTATGAGGGTTTAAAGTTTGCACTTTGACTCTTTTTATTTCTGTTAGAAAAATAATTTTCCAAGTTTTTTTGCTATAGGCTATTAAAAGAGGAAACAAGGAAGCTGTATCCTAAATTGTAACTCTGTTCAATGTTATTTGTGGCTTTTATTGGCAAAATTTTTGTCCCTTTACTAAATAATTGTAAAAAAATATACAAAATCATCAGTATCATTAATGGATATAAAAAAATGTCAAATGTCAAAAAATAAATGTCAAAATTTTTTGACGGATAGAATTTTTTAAACATTTTTTTTATGTTCCTGGTATCTTACCTTACTTGAAAATTTTCTCTGGGGCGCGAGTTCTGGCACACCYTAGATGCCTGTATGGCAACCTGGATGTGCGAAGATCCTCACGTGTGCTCCCCCTGTGGTATCTCATGTTGTATGTGTGTATATGCACATACATGCACGGWATCACGATATGTTGTACCATATCATGGAATTMTACCAAATATACCAATCAATGCTGGATTGTAAGTTTAGTTGCATATCTAAGATTCAAGAATAGATACAACATTTACTATGCTTGTCTACGGTTATAATTTACAATTTATTTATATTTATACATTTACAATGTTTAAAATAAAATAATTATTTGCATTATTAAAATCATTTAAATATTTAATAAAATACACATACCATGGTGGTGAAGTGTGTAGCAGTATTTAATTGTCTTAATTTATTTTGATTCAAATTAGGTACAGCGGAAATAAAATGCTAGTTTGCGCAAATTAACAATATAAATTACAAAAAATTAAGTTGTTATATGTATTTACAGTCGGTTTACAAAAAAGAAATCAATTTGTATCTTTATAAAAAAAACTATGCAATTTTGTGGCTTTTTTGTAACTTTTGTTTTATCGCAGTGGTGCAGCGAGGGGAAGGTTTTGGGGGTTGAAACCTCCCCTGAAAACAAAATTAGGTAAAATTATTTTGTTGTGGTAATAAACCTAAAATTATATTTTAGAAACAATCAAATTAAACATTCAATGTTGTCATAACTTCAGAAGATTCWCAAATTTTTCCTTTTTTTATTTTGTAAATTGCGGTAAAACTGTACCTCAAACGWAATAATGTTTTTAAACATACATATGTAAAATGTTCTGAGAAATCGATTGCCATTGAGAAAACTTCAAAATTCTTGATCGTTTAGAAGTTGTTAAAGTTGATTTATTATTTTAGATATTTTAATTTAATCAGCAATTTTCTTCATAAGTATTTAATGTAAGACAATTATTTTATATTATAGAAAATTAAAAACTTCAAAATTGAAGAAATATTGAAAAGTACAAAAACATTGTAAAAATGCAAGAAATATATTTTTGAAAATTTTTGTGTACCTGTATTTTGAATTAATACATTGAGACTGTCGGATGGCGTGGTGGCTTAGCGGCATAAGGTTCTGCTTGCTGGCAGGTAGGTACGGGTAAAGTCGGCAATTTTTCACTAATTTATATTCAAATACTAACTCAAATACTTTAAAACATTTGCACATGTTCCAAGAAGTAGAATAAGAGAGAGAGAGAGAGAGAGAGAGAGAGAGAGAGCATAAGAGCAAATAAGAACGCAAAGCATGATAAGAACGAAAAAGAGCTTAAGAACAAAAAAGTGAACAAAGTATACCTAAGTAAGGGAAAGTGCATTAAAAAGCATAAGAGCTTTTTTCTATTTTGGAGTTGCAAGGGGCACATTGTGCGACTGTTTTCAATTACACAAAATGCTCTTAGTGACACTGTTTTTATGCTACATTTTTACCATCACTGACTGTGCATACTTTTCAGTTAAACTGGATAACCAAAATGATAACTTAAGAGGAATTTTGAAATTTCAATGCTAATTATTTCAAATATCAATTTGGTTTTTCTGCTTTTTGTCTGCTCATATCGTTTTTCACATTATAGTAAGCGCGTGTTTTATGAATTGGTTTCAATCACGTTTCAATTGATCAGATGTCGTATTAACGCGTAGGTTAAGTTTTTCAACTATATATAGCCACGAATGAAAGTGGTTTTGTACTAATCAACAGATCTCAACCCGTAAGAGGTAAACCGACTTCGCGAAGACGACTTGCTTGGCATTGCATAAGAGTCTCATCTTTAGTTAGTCGGTAACTGGGACATGGTTACAATGGTATYATATGCAGTCCACTGAGATAATATGCTGTTAAATATTTTGTATATGTAGTGTTTATTGCGTAGTAGAAATTTTATGAAAAAAATTAATTGAGCAAGTTGACCTCTTTCAAAATTCTTTTCTTCGAGGGTGCTTCTTTAAAGGAGTGGTTTCACGTTATTGTCTCAACAGGATGCCCATTTGAATGTATTTCTGTCATATGAAAGCCATTGCTAACCGGATTTATGGAAGCGACCTTCGAATATCAAAGAACAAATTCCGATAATAGATCCATAAAGAGTGAGCTTCTGTGCAATTAATGGAGCGTTCCAGTTGAAGGATTTAAGTGACAAGAACATACGAGGAGTGTAGCGACAAAATCGCAAGATTTGGTAACTTATGTAGAGCGCATTGTTTATCAAAGGTTAACTCATTTGAACTTAGGAACGTTCTCATGAACCTGTTGTCATAGGCAAGCATTTCAGTACATCAGTTACCCTTTGCATAACACGATGCACGAAGTAGACGACTTATGTCTGCACTTTAAAATTGCTTGGGTGATCTAACACAAGCTATTGCATCCGCAAAACAATAGGTGGTTAGTGTGAAGGCGGCTTTGATAGTCCATCAACTCAAATCAGAACCGCCACTCTTCAGAGACAAAGACTTGTCACACATACCTGCATACACCTGCACCGATGAATTGAGCCATGATTTAATCAGTTTTCAACCCAATTAGAACTGGCACGTTTACGAGAACGGCATTCTCTCGACTTGTTTTGTAATTTGTTATAGCCAATAGTTTGGAAAAAGTGCGCTTCATTTTTTTCTGCAAAGTGTCTAATTAATTGTCTTAAATACCTCGTTGACATTAACACTTTATGGCTATGTACAAGCATTTTGTAATCTATCAAATAAAGAAACAATAACTGTTAACATAGAATAAGATGCCCATTTGGGGATTTTATTAAGGCTTCTTATTCGTTTGAATTAAAGAAACAATTACTCAATAAGTGACTTAAAAATTCCCTTTCAATACAGATGGTCCAATCTAATATTTTTTTGAAAGTTTTCCCAAACTTCCTAATGTGTTTACTAAATACTAACTTATCTAACTTTATCGGTTTCATCTATTGGTAATTAATTGTGATTTATGCCTGATTACATTGCTGCAATTAGCAAAAAAAGCAAATAAATAGATTCCTACAGAGAAAGGTTCTTTTGGTAACAACCCGGGGTAATGGTGAAGAATCCTTACTTTTATTTTCTTGAAGGAGATGATCTCGTTTCACTGTTCTGATTAATTCTTCAGAGTGGGGTGGTTGTCTCTTACTGTAGAATATTAAGTATATAAAGAGACTCTTCTTCTTAAACAATTAGTTACACTTATGTTGTGGTTGTTATAGTGGTTTAGGAAAAAAACAACCAATATGAAATTGGTAAGTGGAGAGATCAGAAAACTCAACAACGACGAAGTGTTAATTTTGGCTAGTTTTTTTTCAAAATTTTAAAAATCAGTTTTTTTATTTCTACTATTTGCCACACAGAAAACCAATCAAAATTACACTATTTTGAATATGAATTGTTTTCACTCATGTGTATAATTATCTTTGTTTTCATTTCTATATCTAACATTTTTATTCGTATTTTCAAAGGACTTAAAACAGATTTTTCATTCAGTTATGAACTTATTATGCTTAAATATGTTAAAAATGTTTTATAATTTAATTTTTTTATGGTTAGAAATTATTTCAGAATTCAGGATCTTTTAAATTTTGTAGAATGTGAGATTATTATTAAAAATATGTTTATTTTGCTTTGGTACAATCTTATTTGTGTCATGGTTTAATTCCGAAAACTTAGCTAAAATTTTATAATATAAAACTAGTCACCAGTAGATGATTCCAAGCAACTGCTATCCGCATTTTTGTTGCTATAAAATCAATAAATTAATTAAAAATATAAAAATACAATTTTTTTTTTGTATTTTGTAACTTGAAATATCACAAATAAATCTACTTGTAGATGTTKTACAAAAATTGATATTTTTTGCATTGATTAATATTAGCCTCCCATATAATAAAATGCCCCGAAAATAAATAATTACTAATAATAATTAATACAGTTGTTTTAATTGAATCTACTTTTATCTAAGTATTTGCCAAACCAACATATGCTTAGAATAATTTTTGTTTTTAGGTTTTTACTTCATTTTTAATAGGAATATGTTCGGCTGCTAGGTTAGAAAATACATATCTGCCCCCCAATGGGGGAAGGGGAGCAGGCGGTGGTCCGGGTTTGACAGCACCTAGACCAAGTGGAAACGGTGGAAATGGTAATTTTTTGTCAAAACTACACACTTTCTAAAATAAACTTAAGTGCTTTTGAACATAAAAAAATTGTAAAATAAATGCAGTGATGCATCAGCTTCAAACAGTAAGTGAAGGAAGCAGGTCTTTAGTGCGTGTACAACTCTAATAATTCACGTTACAAAACACAAACGACATGTATCTGTCACGATCAGACATAAACAACACCTTTTCCTTGTACAATCTTTCTAAATCACAGGTTTGCAAATTTTCAGGAGGGCCAAAGCCAGTTTACGGCGCTCCAAACGGTGGCCGAGGGGGCGGTGGGTCCGGTGGTGCTGGTGGGGGCGGCGGAGGAGGTGAACCAATTCCGATTATATCCTACGAGAATGTAAATAATGGTGACGGCAGCTACAAATTCAGTTACGAAACAGGCAATGGCATCAAAGTCGAAGAAGAAGGAGAATTGAAGAATGCCGGCAGTGAGAACGAGGCGCAATCAGCAATCGGATCATTCTCTTACACAGCTCCGGATGGACAAGAAATAAAAGTTGAATACACGGCTGACGAGAACGGGTTTGTCCCCAAAGGGGCTCACTTGCCAACGCCACCTCCAATTCCGGAGGAAATTTTAAAATCRCTGGAGCAAAATGCGGCCGAAGAAGCTGCCGGTGGGGGCGGGTATGAGAACGGAGGTGCTCCTGCAGGAGGTGGAAATGGGTATCCTCGAGGTCCGGGTGGAAATGGAGGGGGAAATGGGGGTGGAAACGGAGGTGGAAACGGAGGTGGAAACGGATACAGGTACTAGGGTTGTTTAACAATAATTCATCAGTTTTTCACACCCATTTATTTATTTTGTCATAAACATTGTAAAACTCGTTGTATATTTGTTATCTTGTAATGGAAGTTAGTAACAAATTTTCAACGAATTGTTGCCGCTACAAATTGTAATATTAATGTTGACATAATGTTAGAAATAGATTGTTGACGACTGTGCAATGAACTGGATATTGAATAATTTAAGATGTGATTACACCTGCCTTACCCTCTGTGTCATTATATCCCACTGACGTGGGTATTATTTATAATATTTTAATGTTATGTGAAGAAGTATAAATGCAATACATATGAAAATGAACATATTGAGAAAAATAGTTGTGTTTTTTTACTTCCACCTATTTTATAATTAATAAAAGTTTTACGTGTTTATAACACACATTCTTCAGTCGTATACAGGAAATTTGTTTATAGGAACTAAATCATTCCAAAAATTGTACCTTTCTTTATATAAACCTTCTTTAAGAACAATTTCCTTGCCAATTTCTAGATATTTATTGCTAGAAATATTAAAAGGTTCCCACTTTATCCCCTCCAGAATGGTACTCGACTCAGGAATAGGATAACTAAAAATTTAATTACTTTTTATTATTAAATAAAAAATGTATTTACCCAGTTTTGGCAAAAGTTGACCACATTAAAGTCAGTTTTTCTACCATTTCACTCTCGGGATAACTATCGTCGAAAAACGGAAAAATTGCGGAGATATAGAATAAATAAATCAAATCATCATGATGAACCACACCTAAAATTTTTTAATTTAGAAACGTATACTTATTAATAACATAAAACAATAACCATATGGAATAGTAAAATTACTGTCAGGGAGATAAAAATGACTGAAACGGCCTTGGTATGTAAATTCGTAATAATAAACTGGTTCAGAATTATTTTGCGATATCAGTTTAGCAGCCCTGTTTGCAGCAAATCCTATGATCGAGTCAGCATATGCCTTTAAAAATAAATCAAATTTTTAATAGAAATTAAAAAAAAACTTCTCTTTTACATCTGCAAGGCCTTGCAGAGACGAATTGTTTAAAGAATTATCTCCCAAATAAAATTTTCTAACAGCTGCACTAATTTCTTTAGATTTTTTTGTCTCACGTTCGTAAAGAAAACAAATCGGAGCATAGGTTTCAAAGTTATTATTAAATTCATTTCTTAATGTTTCGTTGAGAATAATAGCTAAAAAATTTAAAAAATCAAAATGTCTAATTAAATTTTAAAATTTACGAAACGCCCTGTTAGCAAACTCGTCTTTTGTCACGCCTATTACAATTGGAACTTTTTGAAAATCACCTCTTTCAAATATTTTAATGGGATCTTCGGTCAAAAACCTTTCCTGGCCGAAGTCGTCTTCAATTACAGGATACCACACAATTACAGGATCGTACGAAAATTCCTAACTCTTAACTCTTAACTTGCATTTAATTCGAATTCAGGACTTACATCAAATCCATTCAAAGAATTTCCTAACACTTCAGCTGGAATTGATTTCAAACAATCAATCAAAACTGTAGGATTAAYTACAGGACATCCCACTAGTTTTGCTTGCTTTTTAGCTAATTCTAGTTGATTTTGAGGTAACTTCCATTGCCCCAAAACTGAACCACTTCCAATTATGGCTTTATGAAAAAGGCCACGCGACATTGGTGATACCAGGTGAAGAGTAATACTCCAGGAACCAGCGCTATATCCAAACAAAGTCACCATACTTGGGTCACCCCCAAAATATTCAATATAATTTTTAACCCATTTTAAGGCTAGAACTTGGTCTTTTAACCCGTTATTTCCGGGAGCATCTTTACCAGTGCTAATAAAACCTAAAGACCCTAATCGATAATTAAAAGTAACTAAAACAATATCSTGGTCCATGAAATATTGAGGCCCAGCCYAGTCACTGCGACCAGTCACACTGTAAAAACCACCTGAGTGTAAATAGACAATAACGGGGCGTTTTGAGTTCTTTTCATTACCAGGGAGCTAAAAATTTTGTTATTTTTCCATGAAAACACAAGTGTAGAATATGAATTAATATTACTTTGGTTGTATACACATTTAGAAGAAGACAATCTTCAGAAACAGGATCTTCGGTTGGTTGAGGGCAGACAGGACCATCAGTGGTGGCGTTGTAAACACCTGACCATTTTTCTACAGGTAGTGGAGGCTATACACAAATTTTTATTACAGAAAAATTAAAAAAGACTACTCACCTTAAAACGAAGATCTCCGATAGGTGGTTGCGCATAACGGACGCCTCTAAAAGCAAAAATTGTTTTGTTTAATCTTGAGACAAGAATGGAACCTTGTATTTCGCCGAGTGGTGTCGATATTTTAGGATTCAAATCTTCATTAGCAAAAACTAAAACTAAATGAAGTAGTATAACAAGTGTAAACCTCATGTTTCGATGATTTTATTTATTGTGATTATTTCCGATTTTAAATTTATGTGGTGCAGTATCTTATCTTTGATTACGTGTAATAAATCACGTCAGATTATCTTGTTTTATTTCCGTTGTTTACAGACACATTTTTCTGTTTACCTTTGACAACGGATAAAGTCAGTTTCTGCTTTATTTACTAATAGATAAAATAAAGCAAAAAATAAAGCAAAGAAAATATTATAATCCCTACTTGTTTTTTTTTCGTAAAAATTGAGCATTTCTTCCACGCAATGAAAAATGTAAATTTAGTACTATAGAAAAAATGTTATATACCACTCATGCAGAGTTTCCTTCATTTCTTCGTAAAGTAAATACTTTTAAGTGAATGAAAACGTTTTTAGTTGTAGTATAAAAATCTACTTTTTATTAATTATTTATTTGGAATTGCAACCATATAATTACATGTCTGTTAAAGTAGTTGCCTATAAAATAAACGATTTTAATTTTACAAAAACAGATTTGAAGTAATTAAGATGATTGCTATTTTGATAACTTGTAAAACAAGATTGTACAACGTCTGCAGAATTCTTGATGACACTATTAAAGTACCTGCTGTTGACCCAAGAAAGTCACTGTGTAAATAAGCATCAAGGTGACTATACTATTGATTGTCGCAATCATTTTAATGGAAAAGCAGAATTACGGTATTTACCATTACTTAAATAACTGGAACGGAGGATTAGCTTTTTTAATGACACTCAAAATTTTAAAACTACACTGTGGACACACAAATACTGTTGCCCTGACATTAAGACTCATTTGACTTAATCAGTAATCCTTTCATAATTATTTTTTGAAATATTTTAGCAATTGATTTTTACAAAAGAAAATTTCATGTAATAATGACCAATGACCCCGCAGAGATGTATAATATTGCATAACTTRATGCGTTAACTCCCACTTTAGTGACACATCAACACGTAACTCTGCATTCAGTAATGGTTATTTGTTAAATGTCTTTTTAGAAAATGAAAAATTAAAGATGATTTAAAGTATTAATTTGCCATTATCCTTGCAGAATCCTTGTCTTCGAATCATTTGTTACTAGAAATGGAATATAAAATTGTTGCAACAAAATTCATATAAGTTTGAAGATGTAGGTTACAGACTTCCTGGAGTATTCGTCAAAAATATCGATTCATATTTTACGTGGGTGTAATATGAAAGAAAGAGATTATAGTTGTGTAACAAAGGTAATCCGTAAGCTTACTATTGCACCACACTTGAATTTATTACTACTCTCGCAAAATTTTCTGAAATACAAATTGAACACCCACTGATTCTGTCAATACAGTGAGATTAAATTATTACAATTAAAAAAATCGTGGTATTACAGTTTACTTATATAACATGATTCCGTGACCCTTGAGTTTCAGACGCGACCTTTCCCATTTCAGATTTTGGAGCTTAGTACAGTTAACAATGGCTTGCATTTAGTAATTAATTGCATATGAGAGATTTAGAAACGTCAAGCAAATTTTTTACATAACGTTTTAATAAGAATAGGGATCTAATTTTCGTTGCTTCATATGTCAAGCAGTGGTTTAAGAACAATCAGTGATTCAATGTTAAACAAATTAAATCTATTGATTTAAGAATAGTTATACCATTCAATGCGAATCACGACACGTCCAGTACTGAAGATTGTTACTTAAGATTAGTAGACTAAAGTAGATAATTATACACATGATAAAGGTCCAAGGAAAAGTAATTCATCAATTGGTTGTTGCAAAATTTGAAAAATGTAGATGTACTCGTACTAGGAAATAAAAATAGAAATTTAAAATGCCAAGTCTTAAATCACGATGAGAAAAATAAAATACGTAGAGTACTTGAAAAGAAAAGCACAATAAATTGTGTAATTAGACTTTGATAATTATACACAATAAATAAATAATTCATTAAAGAAAGCTAGCTTCATCKAAACTAGTTTGCAATGTTTGTAGGTCAATGTACGAGAACTTAATGATTGGAGGTCAAGTTCAATGAAATTAAAATAAATAGAGCAGTGAAATGAATTTTACTTTCTTTGTAGTATTTTAAGAAACACGTTTCAGGTTTCAGAATTTTACTTTAAGCAATCAAAAAAATTTTCAAGGACTACCAAAAGTAGAGGCCATCCCATTCCAAAAGTACAAAAAAACTTATCGTTTTTCATGATTTGAAATTGATACGTTAATGTAAAATGACGTTACCTATCTATTAAGAATCCAGTGAATGTGTTGTATGTGCACAAATAACTGTAATGATGAAATTAAAGTTGAAGGTTCTTCAGTAAAAGAATTACACGTATTTTTTAATCTTCATGCAATCTTTTTTTTACTAGTAAAGAATCCCATAGTGTAGAATAGGTAGATAAAATGTTATTGAGTCGTATTACAAAATGTGACCGTTGGGTCATGAGTGGACGGTGATGTAATATTTAGTTCCCGATAAACAAAGTGTTTGGCCTTTATCAATTATTTAAATAATGCTATAAAAACCAGGGAAATTCTGCTAAAGGTTAAGTGAGAAAACAAATTAATCGGAAATTGGGACTAATCATAAAAAATATTTGTAGTAATTATGAACTAATTGGTATAAAACATTTAAAAATTATTTTTAATGATTTAAAAATATATATATTTGGGGATATTTTAGAAAATTATAAAAATAAATTATGTATGTCAAACTCTAAATTATAAAAGTTCCTTTAAATGTAATACATTTATGTATTTATTATTTTGTCTTATAGATTTAATTACGCCATAACTTTTTTTACACTTCCAAATCCTTAAAAATCTCGAAATAAATATTGTTTACATCTGATTCTTGAATAAATTTATTTGAACGTGATACTGATGGTGATGATATTTAAAACAAGTTAAAGCAAATAATTATTTTTCCATTATCTAGTTGAAATTGTGGACAATTATTGTTGCGCTATTATTTTTTTATTGCATATATTATAGCATATAATTTACGTAAATGTTATGCAAGTCTATTGTACTAAAAATTTTGTTTAAATATTAATTAGTACCTAATAATCTCATCATTAGACAATCTTAATTTGACATTTATATTTTGATTGGATATGAAAAGAGGAAATAATTAAAAGATTTTTGGGGTCACCAGATTAGGTTATATAAAACTCAGAATGCAGAAATGTATCACAAGATTATATTCAAATTTTCTATTATAGTATGAATACAAAATTGATTGTTATCTCTTAATTTTTGAAATTTTAATCAGAATTGGACTTGTGAAATGGTTAACCTATTTGTTATCCAATCGCCATCAAAACCTCTTGCAATGCTTAAAAATTTGGTCGAAAGAGAAAGAATAATCCTAACTGATACCATTTTTTGATAAGCAACAATAGCTTGTAACTTGATCGAACATTTACGAAAGTGCAATATTTTCGGCGAAATTTTTTTATGAATCAAGGTAATATAACGAATGAAATTTCACAATGGTAGAAATTAATTTGTTTGTTTTGAGTGTAATTGACACCCACTGCGAGATGAAAAATCAAATTTTAGGAAAAGCACTTTACTATAAAAATTATTGCTTAACTCGAAGGTCGGTAATTCGAATAACAAAAGTTACAAGAAAAGAAATTGGGTAAATACGACTTATGACCTTAAGAGGAAGTGGGGGGTAAGTTCTTTATTGAAGATGAGCTTCACAGGAGTTGGTTAGGACCAGGACGTGGGTGGGGGTAGATTCGTAAAGATCTTAGGTATAAATATTGGGTTTATCTCGTTTTGAACTTAGTTATCAGTTAATTGTGTTGGATTATTAACCACAAGCAATCATGAAAGTGCTTGTAAGTATCTTTAGTGCCTTGTAGTGACGTTTGTGCATTGCGTGCTCCTCTATTTTCTAGTTCCAATTGCGGAAGTTCTAGTGAAAAATGTATTGTGTTAAASAGTTAAAGAATGTCTAAATTTTAAAAAACCCACTGAACAGAACTGTAACATTTTTTAATTCCAAAGTTAACGATTTTCTCGCGCAGTTAAACCTTATTTTATTTCATTTCAATTTAGGCCAGTTTTCCTCAGAATAATCACACAAAATTACATCTGGTATTTTAGAAAACGACGAAACAGTTTACAATTACCACAACAATTACTGAATGTAATGATAGTTAAAATGTCACAGATAACATTAATTACTATAAGACATTTTATTCAAACCGTTACAAAAAAATTTCTAATTATACGTTGCAATAAGTCGTAAAATTTACGATTTGTGTTTAAATGTTTTCAGGTAGCTCTTACTGCTTTAGTGGCTTCAGCTTTAGCGGCTCCACAAGGACCTTCCACCGAACCTATTCCAATCCTTCGACAAGAACAAGAAGTCAACTTTGATGGTTCATACAAATACAGGTCTGAAATTAAGAATGTTGCGAAAATTTTGTCTGATTTTTTTTTCAGTTACGAGACCGGAAATAGCATTACTGCTGAAGAGCAAGGTTTCCTGAAAAATGCTGGTCAGGCTGAGCAGGAAGCTCAAGTCGCTCAAGGACAATACCAATATACGTCGCCCGAAGGCCAAGTGATCCAATTATCTTACATTGCTGATGAGAACGGATTCCAGCCTCAAGGCGAGCATTTGCCCACTCCACCCCCAATCCCACCGGCGATCCAGAAAGCTCTAGAATATTTGGCTTCGCTCCCGTCGACTCCTGAACCCACAAGACGATAGGATTTTGTGTTAAATTAAAATAAAAGACATGTAATTAAATTATTTAGGTACCTACTAGACTTTAACAACGCCATTATTCTGTACTCGACTGTATAAAATGTTTTTTAATCTATGGATTGTATTTTTTTATGARTTGTACAAGGAATGATTGATGCTCTTGTGCCAAAAATCCAATAAAAACCTCCATTGGAATCAATTTTTTATTATTTACCTTGATACGTCTGAATAACTGAAATTTTAAACTACTGGTCTTATGATGTGAAGAAGTTATAATTTAGTTCGAGCTCTTGGAAGATTTCAACGTTCTTGTTCTGCTGATTCACTACAAGTGCAATTTGCATAACATATCTTAATGTGTGATAAAATTTGTGAAATACACACAAGGGAATTTTTACAGAAGATGAAATGAGATACTCGCAGCAGGAGCTTATGACACAAAAAGAAGTTATAAACCTTCGCAGAAGTGTTTGTTATATCTTCGTTAGAAGATGTGTGCCAATTCTAATTTATTTGACTTGTACTGGATAAAATAGTAATTATTGAAAAAAATAGGAAAAATCAAAAATGGCATATAATTTTTTGTTTTTTCCTTTGCAGTTCACATTGTTGTGAATGTAGTAAAGTAGTACTCGAATTTAAATTCGTTAGAACTAAAACTGTATTTATAGATATTTGGGATTAATTTACTTTTAGGTAAACTGGAGAAGAAATTGAAATTAAATTAATTTAATCTTTTATTTGTAAATTATTGTTTAAATGTTTTAAAAATTGATAAATAATCAACCGGAACTCTAATATCGTATAAAATTTATTAAATGTTTTTTTAATTTGATGACATTTTTGTGTCTAATAAAGTATACCTAACAACGTAATTCATAAAATATACTGCATATTAATTTTATTTTTAAGTTCAGGGTTCCTTAGTTAAGAAAGAAATTTTTCTTAATTTAGAAATAGTAAAAATGCCACTCCAGTAGGGAAAATTAACATAAAAATATTCGATAAAATGTATATATGTCTAATTCTCTATACGATATTAAATATTGGTAATCTTTAATAATGCGATAATAATAAAATTATTTGTTTATACTTATTATTGGACCTCTTGTATGTTTTAACTTAACTTAGTACGCTGCTCATGGTAGACGTGAACGTTGGTATGACCTTAGTAATACATTTACGTGTGTTTAAATAAACTTCACTTTCATTGTAAACAATATAATGATAGGTTTCTCAAGAATGTATGAGACCGATCTTTAATTTTTTCATAAATTTATGTTAATACACCACATAAACAGTAAGGTGCATGTTGTCTATTTGGTTAGAAAACAACATTCCTAAAATCAACTACAAAGTTGCTGTGAGAACAAATTAAACCATTGAGACTGGAAAAATGTAAGGTACTAATMRATAATGAATATTGACGAARCGAAAGGATGTTGAAACATCTGAGTTTGCTCCAGACATGWCACAGACTATACAAGCTGTTCCGTTTTTATTGTTACAAATTTAAACAGGTGATAAAATATTCAATTTTAAGAAAAAAGTTTTCTATAAACATGTATTGAAAAATACTGCACCTTCTGAAAAGGATGCGTTTTTTACTAGGATTTCTCTAATATACAGGGTGAATATAAAGTATGGAACCAAGCGGTTTTATTTTTAATCATTTGCTTCCAGAAAATAATAATTAATATAAATTAAAGTAATATAAAAAATGTGATTGTATTTTCAGAACGAAATTTTGTTTTGTTTTTGAGTTATGCGATTTTTTTTGTCAAAATTGCAATTTATGTGAAAAAATTTTTTTTTAAATTAAAAATAAAGCAGATAGTTGTAATCCTTGGAGTATAGCTTTTATGAAAAATAATTTTATATTGGGTTGCCATTTAAAAAAATATTTTTTTTTGTAGAACTTAAAAACAAAAGGAAATTTAGAAAAATTTCATTCTTGTCGAATCATCACATTTTTATAGTACTTTATCACTCATTAATTAGTTTATTCAAAAAATAAATAGTTTAAGCAAAAAACGTTTGGTTCCATACTTTTTATTCACCTGGTATATTTCAGAATAGATAAAATTACAAAATCTGGTATAGCTGATAACCTTTATCACCTGTACCAAATTTTGTAATTTTACTTAAAATGGCTTCTAAAATATTGGAAAAAACTCATTAAAAGCCGCACTCTTTTCAGAGAGTGTAGTTCCCTTACATACTACTTTTCGATGTTTGTTTATTATAGAAAATTTTTGTTTAAAAATTGAATATTTTCTCACCTATWTAAATTTGTAACAATAAAAACGAAACAGCCTGTATGTATAGGTATATGAGATATGATTCATCAGACTTTCAATCTTGTTTTAAAAATAGGTACATTCATATAACAAAGTTTAATTTTCTGCTTATTGTGAAAAACGGTGGAAAAATGCATAAAATACCCATTAAAAAACCTGTTCGTCTAAGTAAATCATTTCATAAAACGATGTACTTGTTCACTGAAATGCAATTTATTTYTTTGTTTGGTTTTAAGTTACCATAAAAACTATATTATGGCAACGTCTTTCATTGTTATATAGTATACATAAGTTTATAAAATTCACTAAATAAAAGACTATCAATAATTATATAATTTGAGTTTCTTTCGTGAAATTAAACTTGGTGCAATTTTGCACAAAGAAAGTCTCACATAAGTCATGTTATCATGAGAACTTCTCGTTTATAAGATAAACACAAAAATTTACATAGATGTAAATTTATTAGATGACACAATAAAAGCGTGGAATAACATTTTACATAATTTTTGCCTCACCTAATTTTTGTTAGAAAGAGGGGGTTTTATTAGTTCAGATCTTCAGAATATAAATTTTGAAATGCATTTTTTTTTCACACACCAAAGGTTTAACAAAGAGTAGACAATGAAAAGCTTCACGGTAAGATAACTAAATAACTTAATTTCGTACCCACAAACAAATTTCAGATCTTGCTCTTTGCAAGTCTTGCACTTGTGAAATCATCCCCACAAAATAATTACAACCAACCCATACCCRTTGTTCGACAAGACGCTGATGTGAATCCAGATGGAACCCACAGTTACCTTTACGAGACCGGTAATGGGATTTATGAAGACCAACAGGGGTTTCCAAAAGGGCCTGATAATCAAGCGGTTCAAGGACAATTCCAGTATCAGTCTCCCGAAGGACAAATAATTCGTGTTGTGTACACCGCAGATGAAAATGGGTTTAGGCCACAGGGAGACCATCTACCAACCCCACCTCCTATTCCGCCGGAAATTCAAAAAGCCTTGGATTATTTAGCTACGCTGCCTCCTCGCGCAGATGAAATTTAAAATGTGACAAATGAATAATTTATTGTATTTTTTAAATAAAATAAAGTAATTTTTGTTTTTTTGTAATTATACTTTTTAACTAAACTGAAAAATGAAGAAAGAGGTATTTTTTACAAATTGGTATTACCAGAATGGAAAAAATGTTAAATAGTAACTGTAACGATAACCGTTTTAATAATATGGAAAACTAATTTGTTATCTTGTTAATGTCAAGGTAAACAGAATTTTTATTGAAAACATTGTTAGAAACACATTTATAAAAATTTACATCAAAAATTTTTTTTAACTTAAAAATTACTGGTTTTTATAAATTATTACTTATTGGATACTGATATAATGTAATTGTTATACACAAAAACTATTATTTCTCTTCTGTAAATGTTAATTAAGTACGAACAACACGTAACATTCTTCTTTCTATGACCTCTTTAGTGTAATAACAAAATGTTTTGGTCAATTTCGTGCTGTTCTTGATTACTTTGATTTTAACAAAAAGTATACTCATTACATTACATCAGATTAAACTACTAAAAGTATTTATTCTTCGACACTGTCAAAATTTACGGAAGTTAAAGAAGTTTTGACAACTGTTCGGCATTTATCAATACGAAACGTCAGATTATTTTTAACAGATTTAAAGCAAGTTTAAGCCTTGTTGAGTCTAATTCGAAGAATAAAATGTTGTATTCAACTCGTTTGAGCTTAAATTGGACGCTTTATTCCACATCGTGGATGATAAAAAAAATCCACTCGGTGAAATAAATCGTCCGATTTACACTGAAACTCGTAACTATTTAATAACTACTTAACTACTTAAAATAACTATTAATATTAAATAAAGTGTTATGGTAGACGTCAAGAATATTTAAAAATGCTATCTATATCTCATGCTATTTCTATCACCATTATGTCACTTTTCATAATGTTCTTTCTGTCGGAAATAGTAGATAAATCTTTTGGCTTTAAATTTGCCAGAAGGGTCTAACTGTACCTAAATTAGATTATTTTTTACACAGAAATCAAATCTTTGTGATATATTTTGTCTCAAAAAACGCAATTACGACGTTGTCATTAAGAAAAGCACAAAATGCACAAAATGAATAAAATAACAAACACTAGTTGTTTAACGTGAATATTTTTTTGTTAATTATGTTCATATGTATTTTTACATAAAATTAAATTTGTCGGTTTTGCAAATTTGGAAAGCACATWAGCAGTCCAACAAATCTGATTATGCAAAACTCTATATTTGGCATTTTACCTTTGACACCTTCGAATTTACTTGTAGCTATTATACACATTATTTGGCAATTTTTCCAATCGTTTAGGTGGTAGGATAGCAGTAAAGCACACCACTTAATATTTTTTTATTTAAGCAAAATCTGCGTGAAGGAAAGTTGATGTGTTAGTCTCCTAAACGCATCGGTTGTATTAGAAGTTAATATGAAAGTACTTGTAAGTAGTAATCGCTAATATTTTGACTTATTATGAGTGTTTRCACATTTAGAAAATTAATTACTAAAGCAGCGATTTCTTGTAGATTATTTTAAGTATMGTAGCCTATTGTTTGGGACAARGAGGTGARCAWAGTGCTAAAACGGTGCGTGAAATCAGCGACATCARTCCAGACGGGTCATTTAATTACGCTTTCGAGACGGAGAATCAAATATTTGCCGAAGCGCAAGGTTTTTTGAAAGATGGAGATACGCAGGTTATACAGGGACAATATCAGTTTACATCTCCTGAAGGTCAGGTTATCAGATTGGCGTATGTCGCTGATGAGGGTGGGTTTCATCCTCAGGGTGAACATTTGCCAACGCCACCGCCCGTACCACTGGCCATTCAAAAGGCATTGGATTATTTAGCTACATTRCCTCAAAAATGATTTTTATACTCACTATTGTGAACTGTTGGTTTCTGTTAATAAATTAATACAAAAATATTATTTAGTTTACTTATGCTTTTTTAAAAAATATTTTTTATTATCATACTGTCATTTATCAACCGTAAGTGTAAAGCCGGGTACACACTACCGTAACATACGCAAATATTATGGACGTACTGCGAACATCCTGCAAATGTTCGGAGTGAATGCTGTATTYCACAAAAACCAGTCTGTTTCTTGCAAATATGCAATACGAGCTGTTCGCTGAACATTTATTCCGTTCTAACGCTCAATGCGAACACCTTTGTGTTCRCATCAAATAYCAACTCTCGATGGAACGCTGCGAACGGTTCGGCGAACATTACGCGTATCGCGTAGTACACACTGGCGAACAGCGTTACGTTACATGTTATTAGTTATTACATTGCAGTAGTGTGTACCCGGCTTAATAAGAAAGTTAGGAATCGCAAAAGAGTAAATGTTAAATGTTTTTACATAACATGATTAGGTTTTATGTAGAATCAGTCATTTTTGACACCTAGATAATTAACTGGTAAACTTGTATATGCGGAAACTACTTTACTATTTCTTTTGTACACAAAAGAATTATACAGGGTGTCAATTTTAAAACTTGCAATCGGCAATATCTATAGAACTAAAAAGTTATTGAGAATCACTCAAAACCGTTTCGGTGGTTTTTAGGGGGAATCAAGATGGCATGGTAAGTGACGCTCCTCCACAAAATCTTCAAACCACAGCCAGCTTAACTTGAAAATTTTAAATGGCACGACCCTACTTGCGATACATCGTTGGAAAGCCCATAACAAGCGCTTTTCAAAAATGTCATACAACAGCTTATTTGGTAAAGCCATTTTTCCAATTATTCAAAAACGAAGACATTAAATTTTCAATTTTTTTATTAAATTCAAGGGTGGGTGGAGGTGTGTCACTGATCATGCCATTTTAATTTCCAGTAGGAACCACCAAAACGGTTTTCAGTGATTATTAATAACTTTTTTAGTTGAGAGAAATTGCCGATTGCAAGTTTTAAAAAAATTGACACAGTGTATGTATTTTAAAAGACAAGCTTTAAAAAGAACAGTCTTTGCTTTTATAAAATTTTACTAGTAAAATTATGACTATTTTCCTGTAATTATGAAATTAACTCGTRGTTTTCGATATGTTTGCCGATTAGGTAGGTGTATCAGGAATTTCACATGATCGATTTTGTTTGGAGGTGAAAGGTAGTTTTTTCAGTAACACAGATGTATATGATATTATCTACCTATTGAGCCTGGTCGATGAACATTTACATTAGATAGATCAGTTGGGCAGATATCGAGCTATTTTGAACGTTTCTGGTAATCATATTCAAAAAACATTGTAAAAAGGCGACAAAAAATTCAACCATTTTGAATAGTAGTTTTCCATTACAAGACTATATACATATGGTCACTCTTTGTTGACAACGATAGTTTTTAGTTTGTTTTCTGACTCAGAATAAGAAATCCTTTTTTCTCGGTCCCTTCTCTGTAACAATATGTAAACAAAAGATAAGTGTATAATGATTTCATTTTATTTCTATTATCTAATAGGTATAAATAAAGAGTAAATATTAAATATAATGAAATATAAAGAAAAGGTAAGTAAATAAAATTAAAGAAATAAATATATTTTTTTATCTAACTTACATATATTTTAAAGCTTTCAAAAGTGGTAAAATTATTTTTTTTTTTGAAAAATCGGAAATTTTGAAATTGTATCAAAATACAATTCAAAGCATCAAAAATCAAACTTTATTTGTTACCGTGAAGTATTTAATGTTATAATGTTCTAACTTCCTGTAGTTTTTCTGTTTGTCTTGCATCATTCTCATTTAAATTAAGCAATTTTTTATTTCGTTACTCTTAAATTGTAGACACGCTACTGAGACTCATTGAATGATACCAATGGATTAATCTGTGTTTTTTTTTTTAACTGAACGTAGGGCTATGTTCAGAGTAAAAAAAATTTCTCTGTATACGCTCTTTAAGTCTACATATTTAAATACTATAGTAATTGTTAAAAAAATACAGTAGTTAATGTTGTAGTTAATAATGTTAATGTGTTTTCCACTGAAAAAACAGTTTACTTTTCATTTATCTCCAAGGTCAAAAAGTCAAAATCGAGCTTTAGGTCTAAGAATACCGGACGCCATTGAAGATGGTGAAATGATGAATAATTCAGAGAAAATCGAAAGTTATATTTGTTTCATAATATTGTGGAATATTTTAGACATCACAAAAAATAAGTGTACCTAAAAGTTAAAAAATATATAACAAATGACTTAAAAAAAACATTTTGATGTCTTTTGACATTGCCATTTATTGCTAGACTTATGTTTACAGGGTAGGTACTTATTTATATTTACAAAAACGTAACGAATCAATAACGATCACAACTTAGAATCTCCTTGTGCCTTGCGAGGGTTCTGGCGGTGCTGGATGCGCGGCAATGTAGTCCAAAGCCCTTTGTATCGCTGGTGGAATTGGTGGTGGAGTTGGAGCTACGGGCAAATGAGCCCCTTGTGGTTGAAATCCGTATTCGTTAGCAACATATTGTAAAACGATGGGAGTGCCATCGGGAGCCGTATACTGGAAGGATCCTTGAACTTCTTCAGCTTCGGCCTCCGGGTTTCCGGCATTTTTCAGCTGCCCTTGCTCCTGGGCGGCGATCCCATTGCCAGTTTCATAAGAGGAGTGGTAGCTGCCGTCGAAGTTTACCTCTTGTTCTTGCTTGACGATGGGAGCATCTTTTTCGGATCCGCGTTGGGCGCTAGCGGCCACGGCCAAAACGGCCAAAGCGACAAACTGTAAAAATATTTTCAGATTGACACCAAAAGTATTTCGGTTGCTTACGATTTTCATGTTGGTGAAGTGAGTTATTGATTCGGTGTGACATCGGTGGACATCTTCGCTCTTATTTATACGAGGGACCTGCTCGTGGTCGAATCTGTGTTGCAACGATGTAAAAGAAGCTGGTGTTTACCACTTGTCAAGGTTGGGTCTTCTCAAATTTGAAGGCCGACTGCAAGACGATATTATAATTTTTCTGAATTTTTGTGGTTTTTGCTAATCACAAGATTTATAGCCAAATTAAGAAATAAGGAAGAGTTTTTTTGAATTAGATTAGATTGTCTCACGTTATCTAATTATCTTCAGAAAAGGTCTTCATCACAATTATCATACGACCACGAAGCCGACGTGGGTGTGACTAGGAGGAGCAGTTTCTTGCATTACATTCCAAAAAGAAGATGTAAATGCTATTCAAACACGCTTTTCACTTTTCTCTTTCGATTCGTTGCAACAATTAGCACTAATCGGTGTATAATTAGCACCCAATTAGATATATTTTGCCATAAATCATCCTCCAGTCTTAAATCACATGCGAATTAACTATTTAGATTGTAATTGGGACACAAAAACTGGTTTGTAATTTTTAGCCTTTAACTTAGGCGAGCCTTAACTCTCTTCTTTAAAAAAAACAAGTGTTTATATGACCTATTAATTGTGGAACGTATGTTTAGACTGCATTCTATTATTCTTAAGCTACTTATAAAACATTTTTAATTTTTAATGTTTTTATAAAATATTAAAATTATGCTTTTTAACTTTGCTACTTTATTTTTTTGTAAATTATAATCGAGTGATGAGCATGAAGAGCAAAGAGCAGTTAAAGCAAGTGTAATTACTTTTCAGGAAGGGTTAATTAAAAGCTTGTAGACCGTGCATATATTACATTTAATGGCACAACTTTTACAGCACATATTTTATCGCAGGCAACGTAACAAAACTCGTAAAACTAAAAACGCTTAGAATCTCTTGGTTCCTTCTGGGGGCTCAGGATGTGCAGCTATCCACTCCAAGGCCCTTTGGATCGCTATGGGAATAGGCGGAGGCGTCGGAGCGATAGGTAAATGCGAACCTTGAGGCTGAAACCCATTCTCATTCGCGATGTACTGCAGAGCAATCGGCGAGCCATCGGGTGCGGTATATTGATAAGAACCTTGAACCTCCTCAGCTTCGGCATCGGGATTGCCGGCATTTTTCAAAACGCCTTGTTCTTGAGCAGYGATGCCATTACCGGTTTCGTAGGACGACCGGTAGGAGCCATCGAAATTGACTTCTTGGTCTTGACTGATGATGGGAATTTGCTCGTTTCCGGTTAATTGAGCAGCTTCTGTTGCCCAGACGCAAAAAAGCACCAATACCTGGAGAAAAAATTAAATTGGTTGGAGGGTGTGGACAGAACTTACCGCAAGCTGCATGATGCTGTTTGAAGATGCAATTGCAGTATGACACTGACATTCCCTTTCCTGATATTTATACCTTTGCAATTGTAAATGGGTGAAGATGCTTGAGCAATAAATCCTGCCAATGGACGTTAAAATTTGAATAAAGCAAACGATTGATTTCATTTTTTTTCCATGAGGAGTCGCCGGTTTTTTTTTTAGACTTGTAAAAGTTAGGATTATAATAATTTATTACAAGGATAAAGTCGCGGTTGTATAAAAGTTTTAGTTAAATCCTTGTGCCGTGAAGAGTCGATTCATTTACATAATGTCCTATTTAATCGTTTTCAAATGGCGTAAAAAGTACGAGTATATAGAAAAATATAATAAACCGTAAACATACTAGTATCAGTTTCAGCATAATAAAGTCGTTATTGACACAAAATGATTTACTTATATGGTGCTAAAATGAATAACCGTAGAGAACCTTTAGGCAGTGCAAACTACAAATGTTAACTCTTGACATTTAGTAGGTTAGAATGTTGTCTGTCCAGTCTTCTTCATAATTCTATGTGGTACAGAAACTACAAAAATGTTGTTTCTTGATTTTATATCTCTCCGATTTCACAGTGAACAAATGTAGCGAGAGCCCAAATATCACACTGGCATGACGGTGCATACAATCACTTACAACACAAATTTGCAAAATTATCTAAAATTATGCAATAACGTAATTACTTGTCATTCTGTTCGATTAACCGTTAAATCTTAGTTTTAAATCTTTTGAGAACTGCTGATTCATTCTATCTGCCTCACGGATCTTGTTATATTTATTAAACATCTAAAGAATTAATTAATCTGTCTGTAAAACGTATAATTAATTTAAAGGATGAAAGTTACCTAATCTAATATAATATTTATCTAATAATTTAAATTTCTGAACCATAATGACATTTATTAAACAATAAATCTATGTAAGATTTAGCAACTTCCTGATTTGGATTTGATTTATTAACTTATCATTCAACGTTATTACCGTTCTTCAAAGTTTCAAGAAACATTTGTGTTTTATTTTAGATAACTTTGATCGTGATATTTATTATAGTACGAAAACATTCTAACACGACATAAAATACCAGAGGTTTTACGTGTAATCTCTTAGGCTAGAATTGAACTATAATGAAGGACATCATCTAGAAGAAATTGGAATTACCACTAGTGTAGTTTACTTTATTTATAAGTTTTAATTAAAATAATGAAGAAAATGCCCAGAGGTGTGAAGTAGCTACGCACAGAAGTAATTTGCTATTGATTTCGGTAGGTTGCTGCATGCATGAAAGCAATTGACCTTATCGATAAGTTGAATTAACTACTTATCATTTGTCAGTAGCTAACTCAGACCAAATTTAACAAACAAATGGCAGGCATCTAATTAGTTACATTTTTCCTTATTTAATTTTATATAATTATTAAAATTAAAAAGTTGTAGTAACACGTTTACTTGCTTTTTATATTCAGAAGTCAACAATAAAATGTCAAAGAGAGAATGCAAATTTTTTCAGATTTAGTGATCAGAAATTACGAAATGATTGTTAAATAATAATACAATCAACGCCAGACATTCCTCTATAACAGATTTTGATTCACAATGATTTTGTAACAGATATAATCAGGCAATTGGTACAATAGAAGAAAAGAATTATAATGCATTTTTACATACTGATATTTTTATTATTAAATTAGTAATAAAAAATATTTGTTTTCAACATTGCTTAATTAATTGTGTGTGTTTTAAATAGAACATGAAAACAATTTGAATGGATACAAGAAATTTTGTAACAGATGCAACACCTGAATAAGGATAGAAATTTATGCATGCCATAGTAGTTGTTGCGTAGAGAGGAAAATTTGAATATTTTTATTGCTAAATTGTACTAATAGTAAATGTGTTAATGAAGGCATCAAAACTATAAAAACAAATGTTAAAACTTGAAAAATGTCACCTATTTATAGATTATGTAGTAATTTTGATGTTTAGTTCGTGTAACTGTGGAAGGTGAGAGTTAATGGGAATGTCCACCCACAAATGTTAGACGTATTTTATTATTATTCATAGAATTAGATTTTTATTTAAAATTTTCACACGATTTGACATTTACAAATCTAACCAAATTATAAATTTAATATTTTTAAATTGGCTTAACCATCCCTAAAATGATTTATAAGCATTACGGTATTAGTGGAATGGCCATAACCCTAAAAGTTTTGTCAAGAAAAAAAACATTTAAGTAATCTAGTAATTTTTGAAAAGTAAGATCAAACAACCCCAACGGACGAAAGCGAAGTTCACTGTGTAATACTTGCAATAGAAATGTGTCTCTCTAAAAAAAAATATTGTTTTTAAATATTTTTTTCTAAACACCAGTTTAGAAAGTTCTAGTAGAGTGCAAATATTTTAAAAATATTCGAGCTCTTTATAGCGAAGAAAATGATTGTAACGACATTTCCCACACTTGAATTTGCCGCTAAAATTAATATCATTATTCTTCCAATTGGTCCAGTTTGTGATGTAGCCATTTGAATGTAAGAAAATAGAATCACACTTGTAACATTAATTAGAATAACACAAAACCCGATTAAATATTTTGTTTTGGGTGCTTCCACATAATGGTATTTGCCATTCTTTAATTTTATTCGTGAAAAAGGAGCCATTGTTGTAATTTTTGTGTAAAAATAAATCATATTAAAGGACGTCGTATATATTTTTAAATGGAGCGAGTGACATTGCGGAGAAGCTTTGAAAGGTTTGTGTACATGCTCTACCACTTTCATATTTCTAATATTTATTATTATTGCAATATAATATCGTTAGCAGCATCACCTACTGAATTATAAATAAATAAATATACAATATTTCTGTACATCACATTCATCACAAATATAATGTGGCCATYAAATTATCAGCACTAAGATAATAAATGAAATATTGCAAATGCATCTTTAATTCTTTAATAACAGTGTCGTAGGGTGAGTCCACCCACATGGGTAGGACCTACTCAACGTAAGAATCAACTGCAGCAGCGAAAAAATTGAATTATATATTTTTATTTCAAATGAAAAGATTTCGACAAATCTCATATAAGTTTTTAATTTGAAATGTCAAATCTTTCATTTATCAGCAATTGAAATCTCAGAATCACTCTCGTCAATCATTAAYTTTTTCTTTTAACAAATAAGTTGATAAATTTGTTTCTGTCTAAGCGACTGTAGTAATGAGCCCAAAACATTTTTCTTATAGGTCAGGTCACCAAATAAATTAAGAACAAATATGTAATTAAATATAATTTGAAATTTCATTACAAAATGTTAGTAACAATTCCGTTGCACATGTGACGAAATTTTTTATAGATATAGACTACTGAAAATTATTGAAACTTATCTAAATACCAATAGGGCGGTGTAAAAAAGTAAAAGTGTGGTATTTTAAGAGTCGCAGTAACGTAAGAATATTGTTATTAAARATTAGGTTAAACAGATGCTCGTGAGTCGTAACTCAACCAACTTCCTGAAATCTATTGGTTTGTTTAGAATCGGAAATATTTCAAGTTTAAAATGATAAATGCCCGCATTGAAATGTCATTCATTAGAGACTATATCAAAGAGTGTGTTCCTGTAAATATACATGTATATGTATGTTAATCTTTATTGCACAATTTTATGAACCCCAATTATAAATGGCCAAATGTGTTATTAATTTGTAATTAATTTTTTAATAAAAGTCCCATCAAATTACTTACTCGTTTATAATATCCAACATAAATTTTCTTACAATGTTAATTTTTTGATTAACATTTTCTAAATGTTACTAGAGAAATATCAAATGGTAAAAGTTGATTAGGTTTAAAGAGTTTTTCATGAATGTTATGTAAAAGCCACTAAAACCAAAGAATTTTTCCTGCAATTATCTATAATAATAAAACGAGAAGTTTATGCATAAATTATACGAGTATTTCTATTTTATTGAAATAATAAGGACATTATTTCCATATCTCTTAATTTTCTACGTGAACACGAGTGATGGAATATGGATTATTGTGCAAGTTTCAGGTTAGAGGTCAAGATTCACAGACAGGTGTGGTAGCCTCTTAAAAAACCACATCAAATTTCCCAAAAACAAGTCTTTTAAACATGTTAATCAAATAATCAAATTATAATTACAGATGCTAATGAGATTTAATTTTTATAAATTTTAATGGAGGAACTAGAATTACGTCAAGAATATTTGATACCATTTTAAAATCGAATGAAACAATAGTATCTAATTTAAGTGAATAGTAATTTTTTTTTAAAACCGCACCTGTTCCTAATATTGTAAGTGTAATTTCATGATAAGTGACCTTCGAATTAAGTGCATAAACTGAAAAAAAAACTGAACTTACCGAAAAAATTACAATGATTCCAGCATCTTTAGGTGAGGGTATGCGAATTTGCCCCTTGGCCGTTCATCTCAAGTATAAATTAGATTGTGACCTGGCTCATCTACAGTGTTTTAGTGACCACCAACGGCATAATCATGAACTCTTTGGTGAGTAACGCTAGAGATAGTGCCTCAGTAGGCTTCAGCATCTCGCACTGAGCAAGTCTTTATGAAATTTTTCACACGCGTTAATTTTCAATTTTAAGTTTTTTCTAAGATATCTGTTTCTATTCTAGTTAAAAAAAATAATTTTCAAAAATATATTAACGCTCGAAATATTTTTTTAAATAAATATAGTGCATATTTTGTTTTGATTATTTTTTTTT